CGGCCGAGGCCGCCTGGGAGAGAAACTGGCGGCGGGCGCTCAGCGCGACCGCTGCCACCATTCCGGACCGGCGGACGGCAGCGACGCAGCGGGCAGCGGGGGCGTCAGCTGGCGCGGCCGAGCTGGGCCGCCGGCCGGACAGACGCGCTCGGCTGCGGTACCGGCTTGTGGTCAGCTATGAGACGCTGACCGGTACAGCAGTAGCCCGGTGCCCTCACGAGCAGTTTGATGGCTGTGGGTTGTTTTCACGGGCGCGGAAACGTCTGTGACGTTATTACTATAGTCTTTTGGCATGATATGAGCTATACTGCCGATGAAGACAAACGGAGGCGAAGGGGATTGATTCTGGTAGAGCTGACTGGCCGACCCAAGTTTAGAACGCATCGCAGATAAGGTCATGCTACCGAAACGCACACAATAGTTTCACTTTCTATTGAATCGACGCGTAATGTTGTGGCGCTGAATGGGTTACCACCAAGCAGTTAAAACGTCCCGAAAAACAACCGCACCGTGACCCCGTAATCATGGGGTGTTTTGTAGCGGCTGGTAAGAGATACTGGCTCGTAAAACAGCGTCCAAGCCGAATACTAATAGAACCGTTACAAGAAACGGAAGCCCGTTCCAGTGAAAAGCTTCTGTATTTGCTCCAAAGTATAAGTTGCGGTCCCTGGGCGACCTAGAGCCTGAGTTGCATCAGTTACTGTGCATGCCCTCCATGCAGAGTCTGGCCTGTACAAACCCATGAAAAAACAATAAAGGAAACGAACCCAGCACTAATTTCTATCATCCGACGAGGTAAACCTCGAGGCGTAAGAATGACACAGTTCAACCGACGCCTTTGAGGCATACTTTTCAGAGAATATTTCTTCGTCTGACCGACTCCCGGGCGCACCCCTGCCGCCAGGTGCGGCGACATGGGAGCGATGTCCGCCCGCTATCACCACCACCCACCCCACACCGCCGCCCTGCGTTGGGACGGGCCCAAACAGCAGATGAGGGGCGATGTCCGCCCCGCTATCACCACCACCCACCCCACACCGCCGCCCTGCGTCGGGACGGGCCCAAACAGCAGATGAAAGTCGATCGGCCGACCTTGGCCGGCCCTCCCACGCACATTCGGCGGCGCGGGACCGAGCGCGTGTGGCCGCCATGGCAGCGACCAAGCTTGGAAGTGGACCCCAGATGGCGCCAGAGTAGCCCCAAGGTCCCCGTGCAGCTGTCATGCACTCTGTAAGCACCACGACAGCGTGAGTGACTCTGGATGAGCCTGCCGGCGGGAAGTGTGACGGCTCGGCAGCGCCGGCCATGTCGGGGTCCGGGCACGAGCGGGCTGCGTGACCGACACTGCCGCCGATGACACGCCTGCTGCTATCACCACCCAAACAGCGTGGTTGGATTTAGATAGCGATCTCTGACCCTTGTGGGCGTCACGTGACACAGCCATACCTGGAATGTTTGAATAGGGATGACTCAGCGCCCCAAACTGGCATGCTTGCGGCGACTGACGGTATGAGGACATCACTCCCTACCATACCTCAGTCCATGGTTGTCCTATTAAGTCCATGGTAAAAGTCATGGCAAAGTCCTAAAGTCCGAAGTCCGTCTGGTAGACAACACACCAATTAAATTGGCTTGCTCAAAATGTCCCCAATAGCAGCATGGGGTGATACCCTTACGAGGTACTGCTTCACATTACCATGAACTTACCAATAAGTGCAACCGATTTCCTCTGGACCTTTTTTGCATGCGCTTCAGGAATAAGTGAAAGGATGACGATACTGACCTGATGCTCTTTAGTTTGTAAAAACGGAGACGTTATCAGCGATAAGAAAAGAGCTCAGCCATGTAGGTTTTTATGATCACACAGTCTGCGCTGTTGTCCACTGAGTTTCCCAGGAGCAAGGAAGTAAAGAGAAAGCCAGGCACGCATGGAGGGTAGTCAGGTACGCGCGATCGTAAGGCTTCTGAAGTTGGCAGTTAATTGCGAGGGCATGGATTTCGGTGAAAGTTTCAGGGAGCAATGAGCAAGGACGCTAGTTCTAATTTAGGTGGGGAGGGAAGCTATGCTGTACAGATGTCTCAAGCCCTGGCATAAGAGTGGATGCAGCAACAGTGCGTTAAGACCATTGCTGGGCTTATTCATGTGCTTACACGCCAAAAGTCCATGGCCTTTCCCTTACCTATCCGTTTGTTGCAGTACTCCAGCGACTTGTGCTGTTTGAGCTGCGAAGTCATGAAGAGCGTGGTGCCCTTGGCGATGACGCCGGACGCCAGCACGATGCCGAAGGTGATGATGTAGACGATGACCTTGACAATCTTGATGGTGATGTCGAGGCAGCGCTGGTCGGCGGCCGAGCCGGAGTCGTTGTCGGGCGGGATGACGCGGAACACGTCCCACTTCTTCAGCTCGGGCATCACGCTGCGCCGGCTGCGGCAGGTCAGTGGAGGCAGCGTCAGCTCGGGGGCGGCGACAATCCGGTCATCTCAGCGTCACGACCACAGGCCACCTGGCGGATCGATGCGGTGGCATTTGCAGCATTCGGGGTCAATGGATTTGTGCTTTGAAATCATGTTGATGCATGTTAACACAATCATGGTTAGCGGTGCGTTTCTAGCCTGTTACGGCTTTGTCTGTCGTCCATAACTTCAGCTTGAATCAGCTTAAACGCATGAATACTGGATTCAACCCTGACTCCTGGCGTAACATGAGTCTGGTCGCCTGGTACATTAATGTGCATACCACGGTGTACCGGGGCGAAATGCGTGTGCCCCCGGCCCAGGACAGCGCTACATTCCGTGGCCCTGAGCCATGCGCTATTCCCAAAGTCAATTTGGAGGTCTGGCCGAGATCAAAGTGGGGGGTGTGGCGCAACAGCGCGTCGGAATGACTCAGACGCAGAAGGTTCGTGATCACCGCTGGAAGGCAGAGACGACTGGTAATTCGGATCGACACCGCGTCAGATCCGATCCCGAGACGGACCTGACAGCAGCGCGGCTCGTATAACGCATATCCGAGGTACGATCTGCACGCGATCGAGCCTTGTCACGTGCCTTCAGACCGGACTGGATTTCACAGGGGCTATCTGGTCCGGATCTGACCCGGCGGGTCCGGATCTGGTCCGGAAAAGTCTGGCGTTTACACATCTGTATGTGGCCGGATGCGGACCACACCTGACTGCGTATGGCGGAAATGACGCTATCCTGGAATCAGGCCTGATCTCTCCCCCACCGGTCACGAACCGGACCGATTACAACCCCGCTCGGGCGCCGACCGGCTGGCCTTGGACAATTACGTCTTACTACGGCCCGAGTGGAGCCGGCACATGCCACCGGCAGGGCAGGGCGTCGTGTCGGGAAGCAGACCCCGCTCTGCTCGGGACGTGGCGATGCAGCAGACCCCGCCCGGGACGTCGCGAGACAGCAGACCCCCCCCCCCCCCTACTTAGGACGAGCGGGACGGCGCGCCCTGCCCCAGACGTGGCAGGACAGCAGGCCTCCGTCCAGGACTGGCAGGACAGCGGACCCTGCCCCAGACGTGGCAGGACAGCAGACCTCCGTCTAGAACTGGCAGGACAGCGGACCCTGCCTCAGACGTGGCAGGACAGCAGACCTCTGTCCAAGACGGGCTGGACAGCAGGCCCCGCCCGGGACGTGGCAGTACAGCAGACCTCTGTCCAGGACGGGCTGGACAGCAGGCCCTGTCCGGGACGTGGCAGGACAGATGGGACATCCCTGCAGCGGCGCGGTTGATATTGCGGGACAGACAGGCACATCCAAGCATGGGGGAGGGAGGGGGGGGGGGGGGGTGAAGGACATTATGGGATGGACAGGCCATGCACCAGGAGGCACAACAAAGGAACGTTTAATACCGCTGTGGTCTGTGACACTAACATTAACGGGATACGTTAGCATTAGGCTCACTTGGACGCCGGTATGCCACGAACAGTTATTGTACCGATTTTCTATAACGATGAGAACATGACAGTCAGCCAGGGCGGCGGGCAAGCACCGCATCAGTGGTCAATAATGAGCTGGGACATCCACCAGACGCGTTCAGTAACGCATGAGAAAGATGCATCGGTAAATCATTAACTCAATACATCTCTTCAACGTGAGCGAGCTCAGCTCAGCTGGAGGTGTATCGTACCTTAGATCTGACCTCAACCTGGTTGTGTGTTCCTCCGATACAGCCCAAGTTTATTGACTGCCGTACCGCGATCAGTGATCACAGGACCAGCCCGACTGAACGACATATTCCCAGCCTCCGAAACATCCGCCATTCCAGCAGTAATGGTTAGCGTCGACCACCATGCTACCGTCCACCAATCGGCCGTTTCAAACACCTCGGCAGGACGTGAGGGGATCGCGTGTCTCCCCCCCCCACCCCACCCCCTGCCTGTGAGCGTCAGGGTGGACACGAAGAGACCCCACCCGGCTGGCCGCTGCCAGGGACGGAGGCATTCCCAATGGGCTTTCCCACGTCCGCAGCTCCAAAAGCGCGCGCCTCTAAAAATCGACTTCATCGCGTAGATCTCTGTACAGACACATGGCAGGGCGCGGAACGTTGGCAGGATTTACCGCTGTGAATGGGTGGTTCGTAGGGCGTGGTGCAGGGTTTACCACTGCCTTTGGAGCCTTGCGTGAGCTCAGTTGAGGTCAGCGGTCTTACACACAATAGAACAAACAAGACAGTCAGCTCGGATCACAGGGCGATAGCCTGGCGCAGGCCGAGTGGAAAGTCAAGCAGCCCCGGCTGTGGTGAGGCGGGACGGCAATCGGAAGGGAAAGATCTGCCTCTCACCGCTCTTCGATTTAACACATCTAAATACATATATATATATATATATATATATATATATATATATATATATATATATATATATATATATATATATATATATATCTCTCTCTCTCTCTCTCTCTCTCTCTCTCTCTCTCTCTCTCTCTCTCTCTCTCTCTCTCTCTCTCTCTCTCTCTCTCTCTATATATCTGTATATAAACGTACATATATATATATATATATATATATATATATATATATATATATATATATATATATATATATATATAACGTTGACTAGAATACCTTATATTTAAATATCCTGAAGTTTTGAGCCTCGGCAGCAAAACGGTGTTGTAGAATGATAAGTGTCGGATGATAACAACCGTCTATAGTAGAATGGCAAGCTCACGCTGCGCTTGCAAATAAACAAACGGCAAGCATGAAGACAAAACGGCTTTCCCAAAAGCACGGCGCTCAGTCTGATTCAGGCTGATTGAGCCCCCGTGAATTATCTACTACGGCGGCACGAGTCAGCTCTCGCCGTGCACGTTTCGATGGCTAGCCGGGGCCGGTGGCCAACCGAGTGTGACAAACGCGCAAGTCGACCTAGATACCCGGGTGACACACAGACATACAGCACACACACACACACAGACACACAGACACACAGACACACACACACACACACACACACACACACACACACACACACACACACACACACACACACACACACACACAGACACACACACACACACACACACACACACACACACACACACACACACACACACACACACACACACACACACACACACACACATACACACACGCTCAGTCCGTACGACAGATGGCCAGGCGTCAGAGGCCGCTAGACGGGACTAAAGCCACGGTCCGGGCCAACAGTATTGTAACAGGAAGGAGGTCCTGCCCAACAAGGACGGGTGAGTCCCAGCCGAAGCAGGCGGACTCAGGACACAGGAGCTTTCGCACAGCCGGAACACAAGGGCTCCTGGCACAGCCGTGACACAGAAGCCAGGGCAGAGGACCTCCGGCCGAAACCAGAACCTACGTCCATGATTTAACCTCCACAGACCTTGCAAAATCTGCCTTGCTTTATTCTGACATGGCTCGCTGTCTGGCTACAGGAGCTTTTCGCCGCGACACATCTCAAGTCGCGCTGAGTTTCTGAGAAGATGATGTCGGACGCTGTCCGACACGGGCCTCGTCGGGCAGCGCTGTTCGGCATTGGACAGCACGTGACCCACATACGCGAGTCAGCTCTCGCCGGCAGCGTCCACGGGCGCTCCAACTACCGGTTATAAACAGCGTACAGCCGGTGTTTTGCATACAGAGCGCACGGCGGTGTCCTCCACGCGGCAGCCGTTACAGTCACGCCGACTCCAAAGGTTCTGCTCAACGCATGTGCTGACGGAGCAGGCATCAGCCTCTAAAAAGATTGCTTGCGCGGTCCGAAGGTCGCATGAAGCGACAAAACACCTTCACGCGCTTAATTATGCGCGCGGCGTGCTAGCTGAAGCAGTTCGGTGGTTTCGTCGTTCACGTCCTTTCATCCAGGAGAAAGTGTTCGGCGATTACTGAGAGGCTGTGACCAGACAGTTCTGTGTACACAAGGCAGCAGTGGAGATGCAAATCATCTGCGACCCAGCGAGTGGGCTAGGGAGTTACGCTATGCTATAAATCGCGTGGTAAGTCAAAGGCGCCAAGCAAACATCTGAATAGCCTGCTTAAGTTTTAACTCTCCAGGTTTCAGGTGATGACATATTTTATATCTTCTGTCGTCCAAAACATTAGGTTTAACTTGACAACGGAAAAGATCATCTCCCACACATCACATGCAATTCTTTATCACCAAGCCCTCGGCGTCATGTGCATTACTCCTGAAGTAATTGCTCACACGATCATGCCATATCCTTTATGAACTTGCTGCATTGAATCGACGAGGTATAGCGAAATCGAAACCAAGGTATAACGCTCTACACAAAATATACCCCACTAGTTACAATCACTACAGCCTACAAGTAGGACTACAAGTCGCACTCTGCCATGCTTGTTGCCCTCATCAACCGGCTTATCCTATGAAGCAGTATGAAAATGCAGTACAGCTGCCGGAAGGGCAGCTTGACCTAAGCCCAGCAGACTCACCTGCCGCCATAGATGTCCTCCTGGTGCAGTGGAATGGTATCGTCGGCATCATGGTAGTCGTCGTCCATGCCGTAGTCGCCGGAGGCCGCAACGCCGTTCATGGCCAGGCCGAGCGCTGACTTTGACCTCTGGCCGGTCGCTGCCGCTGACCTTGACCTGAGGCCGGCGGCTGAGACAGGTCGTCCCCTCTCGCCGCGGGCCAAGCTTGAGGCCGCCCTCTGCGGAGAAGCCGGCACATTAGGAATCTCACGGGTGATGGGCTAAAAGCGTTTGTTTGCGGTATACACATGCCACGTTTTTAGAGGTAATGGATGTGAGTTGTTTCTCGAGGTAAAAATCCGCCGTAATTTTACGCCCATCTCTTGCTTTGAGATAGATGGAGCTCTAGACCATGTATGCTTGGCTTTTGGTGGGAAGCTCATATAAGGGTTCAACTAAATAACAACTCTTTGATGGAGGCCGGTCTCCGTCTCGGGCTACGCTACAGGTAATGTTCATCATCAGACATTAAGCCCAGCTGTTCTAGTCCTACATATTTTTTTCGTTGTGGTGACCGCTCATGGAGGGTGGTCAGCAAAGTGGTGCTGAGCCTCATGGACGGAACGGGACGGACCAGTGGCGGCTGGACCACGTCAGGGAGCCAGAAATGGGCATCCGCTCGTGCGACCTATCGTCGTGCACATCACAGCTGTGGCATGGGGCGCGGGCTGTAAGCCGGAGCCACGACATGCCTGAAGGTAAACCTGCGGCAATGTATACGACAACGGCATACATGCCAAGTAAAGGCACGGCGAGGAGAGCCAGGTACCGCGCTTACCGCGGCGACAGTCGAATATTGGATATTACTGATATGAATCCATAGCTGACAGCTAGTATACGGCGTAGATAGTTCACGAGCACGCGATAGTGATCGCACCCTGACGCAGCGACCGGCCCGCATTATTTGATCTTTTAGAGTTTGTAGGAACCGATCGATTAAACGGGCAATCAGTGTCGTATCCGGTACCATTTCATGAAGTCACATGCGACATTGCTGCGCAAAACGGCGCTGCACATATGATCACGTGATGCTGTCGGCCGTCTTCCTTTCTCATTTTCTGGCGCCCGTCTACGGTACTTTTTACTTAGCACATACCCGTGGGCAGTGCTCTCATGTATATTACATAAAATGAAGCAATAAACTAGCCCTGTGCATAATGCGTCCGACACCGGAGATCGAAACCAGTTGCTTTCGTGGAAGAAATTCGTAGAAAGCGGGTTCCACAAATGCACGAGCAAGCTTTTGCACACTGTAAGTCGATGCTTCCGTCACGCTTGCAAGCCCGAGCAGGACCTGCAGCGCGGGCGGGATCCATGAACTTCTGCACGGTCGAATCTTGATTTGCGAATCTGCAGAGCTCGGCTCCAACATCGGAGATGCCTACGTCACCCGCCGCTCACATCATCACTGCTCTCAACGCCGGCTTGGCACGCGGTCCATCTGTGCAGTGGTGCATATCAGTGCCGCGCCACTTGCCGCCCGTGCGCCACTCTCGCCGCCGGCGGCGCCCATCAAAACGGAGCACGCATGCCCGAAACGCGCGGCGATCTGAGCCGGGTCTGCGCGTCGCCTTGAAGTCGGCCCACGGCGGTGCGGGCGTGACACGGACCGGTGATCTCTGCGACCGCCCAGGCCCCGGGCGATCACGCCTCGGTTCGACCTCCGGGCACCTCAGGCTGGCGCGGAGATACGGGTCACCTGTCACGGTCGCCAGCGTCCCAGCGGGCGTCATTGTCGGCTAGTCGGCTGGGGCACATGCAAGTGATGTATCCATTAGTATTTCCTTGTGGATCAGATGCGACGCATGATAGCGCTGTTGATAGTTTTCGTAGCTCTAGTTTGTCTGGCTGCCCTCATCAGCGAACAGCCCAGGCCGGCGTTCCGGCGGTCTGCTGCGATGGTACCGGGTCACGGATAAGATCATTTTGTGTCGGCGCAGTGGTTACGCCATCTTCCCATCTCCAGGACATTGAACCGGTTCCAGTGTCAGTGGCTTGCCATTGAAGTAATTCCCATGCTAATCATTCTGAAACAGGCTACCTATGTTATCTGAACCGAGCTGCGATAACTGCGTAAAACCCTTCAGTTCCACAATACCAGTTGTAATTGGTGCGGTTTGTAATCATGGGTCTACGTTAGACCAAGGTTAATGTGTAACTTAACGGGCGTGTGAATAACCTCTGGCAATCTGTCACGAAAGCAATGATACCTTATAGCATGTCTCAACGTTTTATGTGCCTTTATCACGACGTCGACGCCAATCAGTGCAATCCAGCGTAATGCAATCAATCAGCGGACGTAGAATATATATGGCGAGCCTTTAACATGCAATAACCTGTGCGGCATACGAAAATCAATGTCAGAAGTAAATGAACTTCAGAATGCCACTGTGGTGCAACAGCTACCATCGATATTACCCGGCACGTTTAAATCCTCTGGACAGGTTGCCAACTCCACCGTGCTCGGCTCCCATAACTTCGCTGATTTAATCATGCTATCACAAAACGTCTGCCCAGAACGCGGAGCCATCAAACCGAGACATGCCACCCTAAATGTTAGTCGCTTTCTCACAACTTGTCTCATCTTCGCCTGGGGCAGCCTCACACATTACACATTGTACTTGATGATCAGTAGATTGTCCATCACATGACATGATCATAAATGAACCATGGCTTAGCGTGTTTATCGCTGTTAATGATAGGTGCCCTCTCCAACATGATTCTTCTTGCACCAAATGGCTCCAGAACTGTTGAAAACCGGTACTATCGTCCTTATATGCTTCTGTCAAAACCCACATGAGGGAACATGTATGACGAAGTTGAATGTCAACAGCTCAAGAATGCAGCAACGTGGGATGATTCAACCATACGTCCCCTGGAAGACAACGATTGGCAGGCCAACTTCACCGTGGAATATCGGTGTAACTAAGGTTAGGTCACACATTAACCTCAGGACAGGACAGATATTTCTATACGTGGAATATACTTACAAATGCTTGCCTTCAAAAGCGAACTCAAAGTAAACTGACCGAGCTGAGCGAGGTCATGAGAATACATACGTGGCCGACTTTGCCAGCGGACAATAGCGGACAGAAGCCATAACTGATCGCTGGTCAACTAACATTTTGCGAGCAGGGGTGATCCTAAGTCGACTGTGGGCCCTGGTGTGTAAATGATATTCGATCTGAGTTGCGATCACTGTGGATTAAGCATGCATGGCGGGGCACTGGGTGTTGACATAACCTTCAGTATTATGCAAAAGAAACCGTTTGCCAATCATGCTAAACATAAAAGCATGTATCACCACTCATCGCTTCTTTTAAAAGCTACTCTATCTAGGCATTTTATCTCGCGCGAAGCGTACTACTGCTCGTATGATGCGCTAAGCCGAGGTCTTTATCCAACGAGCCCCCCTGCAGCCTCCTATCTGGTGCAGTACACTAGCCTTGCCCTCCGTTCGGTGCATCGCACGATGATTCCTCTCACCCACCATATGTGCTAACACACAGCACATAAATCCTCTTGTGACATGCTGCCTTGCTTTGAGGGCGTGCGATTCACGCTGCGTGCAGTGCTCTGCTGCGATGAAGGTTGAAATCAGAGCCGAGGACGTTTCGTTCGATGACGTCATATTTCGTAATTTTAACTCTTTTGTACTATTAAACAGCACTTGATTAACATATGTGAATGCTCCCATGGTTTTCCGCCCTGACTGGTTTGTTGATAAATCCGCCGACTAGTTGAAACATTTCACTGTACTGCAGTCTCCCGGCTACATGAGCGTTACTCTGCTATGCCGTGTTGTAGTCCCCCCTCTCCATCAGCGCGGTGCTGTTGTTTCGCAGCATTGCAGTTTCCGACTGCAAAGACCGCCCGTTGGTGAGTGTGCTGTCAGGTAGCTCCACCCACATAGTAACTCGATGAGCTGTGGTGCGGTAATCGAAGCACGGGGTTCTGGTCAGGTGAGCCGTTCAATGATATCCTCCAGTGGCAGGTAAGAGGTCGGCAATTGTCTTTCGCACAGCCGTGGCGCCGTGTGGGCCGGCACGAACGCCACACACGGCTCGTTATAACACCAAACAGTTACGAAGCTATCATCGCATCGCGTTCTAAAAGTCCCAGAAGCGCGCTACCACGGGTTTCCTTGCGTGCTGCAGAAGGTACTGAATTTCAATGTATGCGTGCTGTGTGAACGTTATCCCCCACCATCAACCTCTCTAGCTGGTGTAATGGACTTCGGTACCAATAACCACCCAAGCTCCATGCACCATAAAACATCTTTTATTTCCCTAGAAACTCGTACCACACACCAAAGCAGCGGTAAAAAGTCAAAGCCAGGTGGCCTGATGATGTGGTTCGACCGTTTCAACAGTGGCTTATAACCAAATAAGATGTATTCGGGGCACCAGGAGGTCACACGGGATCGTCCACGGTTGGCTGGTACAGCGCTGGCCTTGCAGCCATTGTTGTGTAACATTCATAGCCTCGCTTGAGCGTTGGACGGTTCATGACGTTGCTGATAGGAAAACAAGAGCGTTAGATAACTCAAGTGAAACTCCTGAAATCAGGTTAACCACTTTACTTCTTAACCCGTTCAAAAACTAAGCTAAGCCTCGTACCGCTTCTCTCTGACGATGTGGCACGTTTCTTTTACTTCAATGCGAAGCGCTAGAACATCTATGGTATTGTATAGTGAGGCTTTCTGGGGTGATTATGTGCTGACACCGAATAGTTTTAGATTTGGCATGTTTGAACAAACAATGCAAAGCATCCTCAGGATTGCAGAACAGCATATATCCATGTTGACATGGCATGAAATGCATGTTTCTCACATTTGCTGTTTCCAAGAACAGTAAACTGGCTGGACAAAGAAGGCTGATGTTGGCATTTCACATGAAAAGTGTGATCACGAGCCTGGTGACAACAAGTGGACGATTAATGACAACACCACAATGCCCACTTTCACAAACAACGACGCGCAGAATTCGCCGTTGCCGCCGGGATTGGTACAGCCGTCGCCATGGTTACCATTTGCGCCACCGCGCGCCGTGGCCGAGCGGGCGCGTGCGGCGCCGGCGGCCAGACAGTTGTGCAAGCGGCTGGGCCGGCGCGGCGCGCGGCCACGCTCCCGGGCACGGCGTGCTGTTCACCCCGGGGGTCGCCAGTCGGACACCGCCACCCACACACGCGCCCGCCCGGCCCCTTCGGGCTGCCGCTTCAAAGCTCAGTTGACCGCTGGTATGTGGTGCGTCTCCGTCCCAATTGTCAGGGGCAGAGGAGATTTTGCGTTCTTTCACTGTTTTCGGTGCGGGGGTCCGGGCTGGTTTGTAATGGTTATACTTAGTGGTCAATGGTGACATCTTTTCTCCAGGTGAGCGGTGGTGATTACTCCCTGGCTGGGTGAAATGAAAGCACTGGCCAAATAAGGTTGAAGTCTTTGCAACATTTAAGCAAGTCATAATTTGCTACAGCGTGTGTTGAAGCGGGTGTAAGGTGCATGACCTTATGACCCGCGATCTGAAGCCCTTGTTTGTTGTTTTCCAATCTAACTTTATGAGCGATTAACTTTGGAAACCAGCACTGTGTGTTCACTGTGTTTCACAAATGACTTTTAACAGTCCGCGGTATTGTGCAAGTCGCGATTTGGCTCCATTATGCACGATTTATGCTTGCTTTGCGCAACAATTATCTCCTTCCCAACCGCACCGCATGAATCGTGCATGAGGAGACTGAGGCGTGACTGATCGGATCAGTCACCGCGAAGGCGGAGGTCTGTGTTCTTATAAACCACGTGCGAAGTAGATCAATGATCAGACCAATCGACGAATATTCATCATCTTAAGCTGCGTGCTAACCTTCCCCTGCGTAACGATCCAACCAATATACGATGACATCCACTGTCATTATACATTAGATGTCTCTCAGGATTCCATGAGTTCTCGTGAACGGCCTTTCCTTGTCCATCCTTCCGTTTCCTCGGCGTCTTCTGAACCTCCCTAACCTCTAATGGGCCGCTCCTCCCCCGGCTCCTGCCGTGTCGTGAGCATCCTTCAGATCTTCTCCACTCTCGTCGGCCTCACAGTCCCCCCCCCCCGCTCCGCCTTCGCAGTAAGCCGCAACTCCCTGCCTTCTCCCGAGCCCACCACCGCCCGTCCCGAAACCGGAGCCGGGCCCAGCACCGCTCCACAATTGGACCAGCGCCCGCGGCTGCAGGCCCGGACCAAAACACCTGGCGGCCGCCGCCCGGGGTGAACGGAACGGCCGCGGTGCCCGCGCCGGCGAAAGTTCGGCGGGCACCGGCCGGCCACGCCGCTGCGCTGCGCTCCAGCCGCCACCCGAGGGGGAGGGGGGCCTCGGAGTGCTGCCGGCCGGCCGCTCTCGGGAAGCCAGAGTCGACTCCTCTCCTGGCCGGCGGGGGGCCCATCACGCCGCCGGCCGGTCCGCGCAGATGTTGGTGTGTGTAGGGATCGAGAAGGTTGTGACTGCTCCGGCCTCAGTGGCACTGTGGCACAGTGGTGGCGACATCGGCCGAGTCCACAGGTGCATGGTACTGGTAGTTCACCACTGTTAGAAGGTAATGCTACTAGCCCTTGCACATCGATAGGTAATATCAGTACACTTTCAAGTTGTCAGTCATTCCCTAGTGACTGATGTTGGGTGTTCTCCACCGACGAAGAATGTCAGTTCTACCTGCTGCCAGTAGTGGTGTCGGAATACCCTGTTCGCCGGTGGGTGGTGCTGATAGACTCTCTCCACCGGTGGGGTGGTGTCGAGATGTTCTGTCCGTCGGTGGGGTGTGCCGACAGATTCCCTCCACCGGTGGGGTGGTGTCAAGATGTTCTGTCCGTCCGTTGGGTGGTGCCGACAGATTCCCTCCACGGTGGGGTGGTGTCGAGATGTTTTTGTCCGCCGGTGGGTGGTGCCGATAGATTCCCTCCACCGGTGGGGGTCTCGAGATGTTCTATCCGTCGGTGGGCGGCGTTCGGCAAGCCGCTGCCCGCCGCCGGCCGGCCGCTGACAATAGGACAGCAAGCGGCTGGCAGCAGCCATATAAGTGGGCCACGGGGGGATGACCGCGATCGGCGACAGCTGGTAGGATAGCCCCGGGACAGGGCCGGCCGCCAAGCAGGTGATCGGCAGGTGGCTGAAACGGTTTGGAAATCCAACACACCGCCAGCCAGCAGGCGTGGCTGCTGAGAGGCCGCTGAGCAAAGGGTCCTGGAGTCGGACTGGACATCTCTCACCGCAGGGAATGGCTTCAGACATGGCCCCCGATGGACCATTTGCCTGGAGAGACTCCTATCGGGCGCCTTGATTTTAAAAACAGGCTGAACGAACAGCAGAGCAAACGCGATTATGAACCGAGACAAATAAGCGAAGGCTTTGAGTTCAAGGGGCCGCGCGGGGGAACCCGTGCGGTGTCAACATACCGAAAATATTTAATGTTTGATGAATGAGCTGATCTGATGTGGTAATGGATGACTATAAGTGTTTCACCTACCTTGACCTGTAATAGAGTATTGTGCATGGGGTACTCGTTTCGCTCTTGCGACAAAAAATCATAAGGAATTTTTATGTGCGCAGCTCCCAAAGCTGCTATGGGTTGTCATAGTTACAGAGACATCAGCCAGAACCTCACCAGAGGGCCCCTTTGGGGTAAAATACTTCAGTTACAGCGTTATAGATGAGAAGCTAACTAATAAGGGCTTCCTCTGGCCTTTGCTCAGAGTTCTTTCGTGACGTTTCTTGGGGACAGTCGTGACGTGCATCCAGCGTCGTGACTCGTGACCCTCGGTCATCCTGCCCCGCGGCGCGCCGGGCGCGAACCGCGTCACAGGACACTCACCCGTGTCGGCGGCCCCTGAGCAGCAGCAGTCGTTGCCGACGGCAGCGGTCCGTCCCACTCTCACCGACACCCTCACGTGGCCCGCCTCACCACTCACCCCGAGCGCCGACTCTCGGCCTCCAAGCTCGGGAGCGCCGCTTCGCTCCCCGCTCCGCGCGCCTTCCGGCCCGCCCGCCGCCGCGCGGCCGCCGATTGGCCGTTCGCGGTGACGTCATGCAGGCGGCCGCGCGGCCTGACCAAAACGCTCCCATTGTCCGTCACGGGCCGGCCAGGTACCGCACGCATGCAACATGAGATGGTGTGCTCACTGCTGCAATCGCACCTGCGATGGCGTTGGCGTGTTAGGACCGTATTCCAGGGCATTTAATCCGATTGAGTTCCTCAATTAATTCGCCCTCATCAACCCCTGGCCTTTGGACAAAATGTCCTGACGCCTTACGTTCCCTGTGAATGAAAGCTGAAAGATACACTCAAGATGGAATTTGTTAATGCTACCATGCGCGTAGAAAACGTCGCACTTGATTTCACTCTGGCGGCGAATGGAGGCACCAAATATGATTCTATTTAGGACCCGCGTCTTTGCAGGCACCTGCAATGCATGTAAGCATCCTTGTCTTGCATTTGTGCTCATTTATCATACAAGCCTCAGATACTGTCATGAACTAAAAACGTAATCAAGAAATATTAATCAGATCAATAAAGGATATTATTGGGTTGAGCATCAGAATACGCTGCGCTATGTCTCTAAAGCAAAACACAATGAGCCAATATTTGCTGGGACCTGCAGCTGACACCAGTAGCACACCTTGCTCGGTGTTGAATGTGCGAGTCGGTAGCAACAAAATGTGAAAGAAGCGTGACGATGATACCTAGGCATAAAACAAACGTCAGGGTTATCATCAATAGGTGCCACCAAACCTGTAACAGACGCGTTACATTATATTGATGATGTTCACAAACTAAAGCGAATCGAGCAGCGCCTTTAGCGAGCCGCACCAGTGGGGCATATCGATGCCTTCGGGTGTGCTTTTTGTTAGAGCTAAAAAGGCAGACGTTCACTGATGTAACGTTCGGTGGGTAATTCATAAATGACACTGGCATGCATGACAACATATACTTCCGCCTGGGCAAGCTCTGACCATTCCAGTCAATCAGGTGAGTGAGCAAGTATTCACGCTTTTCTCGGCTGTCACAAAAGATCGGTATAAAATGCAAATTTTATTGGCGGAGATAAACGCGACAGTGACTGAGTTATGCGGCTGAGCAGATTCCTACGGGTTTTCATGGTTATGCCCCTGCTGATTGCACTCGACTGACGCCAAAAAGGCGGCACGAGGACATTTGTCGTGCCACCGATGTGCTTTAGATTCAGGCCCTGCCACTCAGCCTTTTGTGAGTGATCTACCGTCTACAACCATGTAGTCGGGTTTTCCCGTCTTGACCGACTTCGGTGCCGACATCTGACGCAACTCCTCCGTGAAAACATCCTCAAATCGTGACCCGGGTTTCTATGCTCGGTGGGTGATACTGACTGCACGTGGTCGAGGCATGCCTGCTGTGATTACCCATCTCTCACCGGTTAAAACTGTCCTCTGAGACCTCTGATTTGAGACTCGGACTGCCAAGGACCTAGCCTTTCTCAAGTCACCGCGGTTTCGACCGATCTTGCGCATCTTTTTGTGCTGAAGGATTTTACTTCGCTCTCGGTAATCGAATGAAAAGAGGGTACATCACGCTCGAATGGCAATGTTACGGATGGGCCCACCTGACCATACGGCTTGTGTGGCAGTTCCTGTCTTTAAATAAAGCAGCAGGTTATTTGGAAGTGGTTAACTTATTAGCAAAAATCAACATGAAGTGGTTTGTTTTGAAGCTCCATAGATGTTAGGTTTAAAGAGTAGTTTTAGCCGGATCTCTCAGGTTTGATTATTTCGGCATGTTCAAGTAAGACTCACGAGGAATACAGCCTCGGCTTTTTCCGGAGGCAATGTTGTTAAAACCCTGTTCAGGACAATACAGCGCCAGGAATCAGTCATAAATGTCACAGCAAACTCGCTAGAAAACCGAAGAGGCTAGAAAAGCGATATATATATATATAGATATATATATATATATATATATATTATATATATATGTGTGTGTGTGTGTGTGTGTGTGCATGCATATGCATATATATATATATATATGTATATAAATGTATATTGATATCAATATTGATATTGATATTGATATTGACGTTGATATGTCTGCTACAAACTTTTCTCAGTTCAATCAATTTAAAAAAAATATTCTGCTGTCCAAGTAATTTACAGGCTTATAGCCGAAATGCAATACATCTCTCTTTCCTTTCTCTTTTTCTTTCTCCTTTTGTCTCCGAGCTGCTCGACGGGAATTGGGTCATTAGTGCTGCTCTTTAGTTGAATATCTGTTTGTCTAACTATCGCAACGTTGAAAAGATGTCCTCTAAGGTTTAAATGTCACTTCTTAAGAATAGACATTTGCAGATGACACGTCATGCGTCGATGAATGTGGGGAAGCGGGAAAAGCAATCGCAAACATGGTATCATGGGGGACTCGTTAGTACCGTCAGCAGGATGCTTAAGTTACGTTGTTTACCAGGCATGAAATTGCTGTGCATTCCTGGCGTACGACGATGACGTAGCCAGTTTTGCCCCCCCCCCCCTCCCCTTCCCTTTTAACCCACAGCACGCCGCCCCTAGTGAGTCTGTGACAACTCACGAACACTTCTCAAGATCCCCCGACAATACATGCATGATCAGGGACGCGGGCAAACTCGGAAGAGGAAGCATAAATAAATGCAAAACGAAATGCAGCAGCCAGCACATTTTACGGCCTCAGCCATGCCAGCAAACTTGTTCAGTGACACAGGTACTCGTCTCTGCATCGTGACGCAACTCTCAACACTGTCCTCGCTGAGTCTGTCATCCGGTAACTTGGTATGTGCTATGTAAAAAGGGCGGATTACCGCACTGATAGGGTAAACGGTGGATCGGGGTAGTGGTCTGTGCTGACAACAGCGAGTGCTGCGGTATCCTTGCAACTTGGTTACAGTGCGGCCTCATAGGAACACGGATAAGAACCACTGACAGCACAGTTAATTGGCAGCTGATCTACTCCTTGAGCTAGCGGACGCAGACATCATCAAACGTCTCAATCAAACGGGCTGGATTCAAGTCCAAGCAAGTCCTAGGTTGGGCGAGCTATCAGCGCAAACTGTTGAGGCTGAAGGCCGCTCTCATTTGGGGGAGTTACTTAGAATTGGGCGATTCTCCTATAAATTTGAATCGGCGTACTGTGTGTTAACTCAAGACATTTATCACGCATGTTGCAATATATTAACAGTGATGCCGACAACCTTTTCCGACAAGTATAATTGAAGATCAGATTTAGTGGGCACTAGGAATTTAGTTCTTGAAAACGCAAACCCCTATGCCAGCACGTCTCATTAGATCCATATCATATATATATATATATATTATATATATATATATATATATATATACATTTGTCAACGGTAGCGATCCAATCTCACTAGATTCCAACAATTTAACAACCTCTCGATGAACGAAGACTGTACTTGTACATCCCGTCAGTTCTAAGCTGAGGTTGTTGGAGTAGATATGCCCATATCTTGATAAAACAATGCGGGGTTACATTTGTTACTAATCGTTCTACCTTGGGTTTCACATGCCCCAATTTTTTACGGAGTCGTTCTTGTACGGTTTTGAACACGGTGCTGAAAGTTCGGTTCGCTGGGTTTAAGCAGTATTATGCCCAGCAAGACTTTAAGTTATACCTTATTGCCCAGCTATTGTCAAATTTCAAGTTCTACCTTGACCAGTTCACTATCTATAGTCTCCGTTCAGATGCATCCATGGTGTTATGCTCAGAAGTGACAGATGCCGCTCATTTCTTTCAAAAAAACGCACTATAAATGGTCCTGGCCATATCTTATTTGTCATCAAAGGTCAAAGGTCAAGCAGCGCGTGTAAAACTTCCTTCTTCCTGTGGCTGAAGCTCACTCGCTTACTTTCCGAGATCTCAGGGGACCTCTCCGACACCCATCGTGGGGTGAATGCAAAACAAAGACACTCGTGGGGCGTGGGCTACGCGATGAATTGTACCTGTGCATGAAAAACAACTATGATGTTAAGAAACACTATGTCCAGGCAAATAACAAATAAATGCGTGAAAAATTAAGCAGTGTGCATACACGTTTGAAAACTAGTTTTAACTTACTGTTTGTGTGGGACCCACTTATGCGAATCAATCGTGCTGAGACTTAAGTATGTAGCTGCAACTGGGGCCTTAAGTTAAACTTTTCTTAGAGATTTAATCCGAGCCTTTTGAATGAATGGTTTCTGGGATCAGAACTCACTTTAAGCAGCGCTTGTTGTTTGAGCCCTGACCCCCGCCATCCGATCGCGCAATTTCAGGCAACGGGGGAATTTAGTGGAGAAAGTTTAACGCGCCGCAGTGCTCGGCACGGTCCGTCCTGCCCTACGACGTCAGCTGACCTTTAGCGCGATCGCTGCCACCGGCCGCAGGCCATGCCTGTCAAGGCCAAATAGCGAGCGCCCAAAGCGACCCGAACCCACCCCGCCACGGATGGTGGATCGGGAGGCAGGCGCTCTAGCCAACTGTGCCACCGGGATG